AAAATTGTCTTTGGGATTAAGAAAAACCTTGGATTTCAGACAAAAACATTGTTTCTTCACAAATTAGCTTGTGGTCATACAGGTAGTTTTTTTCTCCCATGCTCTGGCCACAACAATTGCTCTCCTCAGCGCTGGGGTTTGACTCCAGGATCCTCTCGGCAAAGCGTATGGGCCCTGGAGTGTGAGCTAAACAGCTAGGACTTTCAAATGTGCTTGAGATCCTATTTGCCCTCAGTGGGAAACGGACAGCTAACTTCTTTAAGCTTTTGAATGTTCCTGTTTACATCCTCTAACTAAGCAGCAGTGGTGCACTCACATCCCCAGTGGGCATGTCAGAAAGAGAAGGGGGGGTGTCTCTAATTTTATAAACAGTGATGTTCACTTATGCTCACTTGTGTTCATTAGTCCAAGTCCAGAGCCATAAGCATTATTTCCTAAACTGTTTCATATACAGGAATTGAACTAAAAGATATAAGTGTTATTAAAATGGAAAAAGAAGGGATTTGGGCTTTCTTATCTGCCTTTATGATATAATTTATATATGGACAATGTTACCAGTGTAAATACACTCAGAGAAAGGACACGACATTTTCAATGTTGCTCTAGGTGATTAGATGGCATTAAAAATTACCTTTCCATATGAACCTTGTCCTAATACTTTCAGTAGCTCAAACTGAGAAGGATCTGCTTTTTCAAAACCTTCCTTCACATGATGACTGATGTCTATTTCCTTCACGATACCTTCTTCCTGTGAAGAAAACAACAAAAAACAAAATCCGCAAATCAGAGCTGTTATCCTAAGGAAACATATTGTTTATTAAGATCTAATTTTCTGTGATGCTACAATAATGTATGAAATTTTGAAAACAGAAACAAATGCTTGTCCAAATATTCCATGTGCCACATGGATGAGGAGGGTAATGTCAGAACATCCGGGCCTGCTGCTTCTGTTTCTTGAGCCTCAAGATATGACAAGGGAAAGACAGAACATATAAGCTAAAACACAAAAATACACTGGAGAGTTTGGTATGCCCATCACAGACATCACCAGCAGAGCAGCATGTACTCTAATCTGTATTACGGAGGCTCCAGCACACTTCTTTGTTCTCCTTCAAAGCATCATTTAAATCCACCTTAGAAAGCTCCTTTAGTCTTAAGCAGCAATTCTTATGAGCAGGAAGTAAACAAAAGTTATTGCTAAAAGCAGGTCTCCCTATTTACCTCAAAGAATGGAAAGTTACTACTGGTAACCTTCTAAATAGAAAACAAATTAATGATTTAGATGTGAAAATGGGGTGGTGGTGGGAGGAAGAGTGACCCACGCTTTCTTGCTTGAAGGAATTATCATTAAACACTGGATTTCCAAGGTCCTTTTGTTAAAATATTTCCACCATAGATGCACATTCCTTAAAGACATCAGTTGAACCAAGACTTTTAGCTCACAAGCTGTGACATATAGCATTTGATTTAGATGTTTGTTTTATGTTATTATCACATGTTCCTCTAAAAAGAGAGCAACTGGGTCACGTGACACCCAAAGGGACTACACAGAGTTTGCAGCAACCCAGAAAGTCATTGAGCTGAAAAGAAACGTGAAAGGATGGACTAGATCTTCAAGGACACAGAGGTGAGAAACGATAATATTTACACAGCTTTTTATTTCTGTAGCGTTTTGTACACCTAGCTTTTTTCCTATTCAAATTACTTGTTCCAATACCTCTACAACTAAAATGTGGATTTAGAATACAAAACCTTTTTGTTTCATCTCCCAGGTCAAAGGGAATTGATCATTTAGGAATAAATGTGAGTATTTTTTGTTCCATCTCCCAGGTCGAAAGGAATTACTCACTTAGATATAGGTTTGAATATTTCTGCACCCAGAAGCAATAATTAGAATCACATAAACACTATTTTTTCATGGAATTTTCCTGCAGTTGTCCTTTTCCCCCAAGAAAATATCTTGATAAAACCTGGAAATATAACATTTGTTTCCCATCCTTAAAAATTACTGTGGAGAAAATAGAAATAACATCCTAAAATTAAAATACATTCACAAAAATATTTGGTCAAAACACATTCATTTACTAAACAAGAATAAAATTTATTCCTTTCTCCTCCAGAAAAATTGCTATCACCTTCTAGCAGCTGTAATTCATCTGATGCATGGCTAGCATTACCCAGATTGCTCTCTGTACTGTAGCTTCTTCTCTCCCTTGCCTATTTACACTCACGTGCTTTGGAACAGGGACTATATCCTCTTCATGGTTTGGAAAGCTTCCTCTACTTTGTGCATGCTCCCAGAATCATGGAAAATAATCATCATCTGACAGCAACTCATTTTTCTGATCCTAATTCCTCTACTTTATTATTTGCCTGGAAGGAAATGCTTGAAACCAATGACCAGTTTTCACAGAGAGATTTAAAGGTTTTCTAAGTACATAACTGCCAGGATCTCTCCTCTTGTTTTTCTGGCTTTAATTACTGTGGGAGACAGAATATCTTTCTAATATAAAAAATAGCAATTTTTTCTAGGTAAGGGAAACAATAGTAAACCAGTACAAATTCAATACACTGTATTAGCTGTTTCCTAAGGAAACACGCTGTTATCAAAGGCTCCACCAAGTTCTGAAGTTATGAGTTTTCATACTGAGGGACACGCATCTTTAAGTAAACTGCCTGCAGCTGAGAGACTTGCACACTGGTAAGAACAGTATTTCAAGTTTAGCCCACCCTGCCACACTACAGCTTAGGAAAGGACTAAGGACTACCGGGCTTGCCACCCATCTTGTTCAGTGTCCTGGTTTTGCTAGGATAGAGTTAATTTTCTTCTTAGTAGTTATTCACTAAAGCTAAAATTCCTCCCCAGAGAGTCAGGCACCTGAATCACCACTACACCAGACCTCATATGCCTGGGAGTTTGCTCTCCATTGAGCACAGGCAGTGCTTGGGAGGACTGGCTTTGCAAGACAGTCCCTGTATGTGGATGCCCCCCTGACAACCATCGTATGATGAAAAACTGCGTGATGTTTTCTCAAGTCAGTGCAGCTTGAGGGCACCTAGTCACCATTTCACAGTTTTGCCCATCTCTGTTTTGCACAGAAGTGCAGCACAGCAAGGACCACACACTGCAACCAGGTGAAGCAGGATGTGGATCCAAATTTTGAAGTGCACTTGGGACACAAAGCTCTGCAAAAAAGAAACTAACCCCAGTTTTATCTACACCAGATATCTTCCGCAGATTTACTTCTCCTTTGAGCTGACACCTTGATCTTAAAAAGTGTGGATGAGATCTACCGCAAACAGCAAAATCATTCTAAATTCAGTTAGATTGTATTTCAGCCTGAACCATGGAGTCACCACAGCTACATTTGCAAGTTTAAATCATGAGTTTCAATTTGTCAATCCATATTAGTCATCAAAGTCACAGGCGTACAACCTTAAGCATATTTCTCATTGTATTATTGAATTTAATATAACCTCTTTAGGTTCATGAAATGTGTTTTGTTACAAGAATACATTGGAAGTATTAAAGTGGTGATAATTCAGCTTGTTGGAAGAATGCTTGAAAAATTCTAGCGTTCCCAGAGAACAGCATAATTAATTCATAGCTTGCAATAAAAACAACACTTTAATTACATGCATCTTTAATTAAAATCATATTATTTAAAAATAATGGGACCAAATACAAGGCCTAGCAGTGTTTATCAGAGAAACACAGAATTTAAAGATGGAAAAAGTTTGTTAGATTATGTGACTTCATAGAAATATAAAAACACTGGTTAGAAGGGGCTTGCTGAAGGTCATCTAGTCCAACATTCCTGCCCAAAATATCACTGATCAGGCCAGCTGGTTTTTGCCCATTGTGGTTCTCAGCGTCCCAAAACAATGAGGTTTGGGCCACTTCCTATGAAAGATTATTCTCTTTCCATTTGCCTAGCTCAGAAATGTCCACAGTTGTGTCAAGCTGCCTGCTCTATGGGTGCTTAGGAGGAAGTAGGATATTTTTCTAGGAAGGCAGAATTTCCTGTGGATTTCCTGTGGTCTCCTCTCTAGAAAGGGGAACCAAAGCAACACTGAAGAAAAGCATGCCGGACAGGTCTTTTATCACTGATTATCACTACAGTGGCGTTAGTTGTGAGCTATCCAAGAGGTAGTTAGTATTTTAGCTGGTATGACAAATTAACTTCTCACTGGAGTAAAAAGCCAAACTGTCAATACTTGACACTGCAGATGGACACAGACCCTTAAAGCAAATATATGCTGATGTGTTTGCACACATGCATCCATTTGCCTCGCATGTATCTCTATATTCTTATTACTTATTTCGCTGCAATTTTGGAATTACTTCTGTTTGTTTGTTTTACCTTACTAATGAAAAAACAAAACCCCAAACAACAGTTTTATGTTTCCTTTTAATATTCTTACTTACTTTGGATCTTCCCCTATTATTTACATCTTTTGAAGTCTCTCTCTATTAAACTAATATGGAATGTGTGATAATTTTTCTCAGGTACTGATGACTAGAGCAAAACCCAAACTATGAGTCCATAAACACCGTGGCAGATCTCTCCCAACTATTTTTGCTTTGACTTGCATCTGAGGGACTTCTCTAACATGGATTTTTTTCACTGGTCCAGCAAGTACAGCATATCTACATTAGGAATTTACATAACAAGAAAACCGAGGCAAGAGACTCACACTACAGATGAAGCCTGCACACTGAAGAAGCTGTTTTGATGGAGAGGATTTCAGTGTGGAAAAAAAACATGAGCCAGCTTCCAAAACGGTTTTGATCAGTGAAGTTGGTGGAGTCAAAAATGAATGTTCCACAGTTTGGTCTTGCAACAGCTGTGCACAGCAGCCCAGGCTCTTGCT